ATATTAGTTATTATAGAGTCGTAGTGGTACGTACTACCTACCTTACTATATATATATATATATATATATATATATATATATGTTTTGACAATTATACACCTATAAAAATATTTAAAAATAAATTTAAATAAATAAAATTACAATCTCTAACTAGTATAGGGATAATTTCATAATTTTATTTATTTTAAATAATCTTTATAGTGTATAATGATGAAAAATACAGACATACCCAATTTGAGAGCTAAAATTAAAATATATTTTATATTATAAAAAAATAAGACTTAATTGTAAAATATGAAATATATGAAATTATTATTAAAAGAAAAAATTTATATGAGGTTGCAACTTTATATTATACTATAAAAGTAAATTTTAGTAGAATAATCAAAATTTTAATAGAAAAGAATGTTTTTAAGTTAGAAAAACCTTGAATTGATTATCTGAGACAAAGAATTGATTATTTTTAGAATTTCAAATAATTGATTATTTTTAGAGTTTCAAAGAATTGATTATTTTTAGAATTTCAAATATTTGATTATTTTTAGAGTTTCAAAGAATTGATTATTTTTAGAATTTCAAATTTTATAATTAGCATTTAACATAAATTTTCAATGCTGTCGTAACGTTTCCCAAACCAAAAAGTAGGAAATTATGAAGTACACCTTCCTTGACAGGGTAAAGGAGGCAGTGACTGTCGCACCGAGTGGGCACCTATTTTTTCCCCTGTAAACTTTTATTTTTGACTTTGGAGCATCCAAGTGCGACAGAGTTCTAAAAGCAAGATGCCTGAAAAATTCAGAGTTTGGGGGGAGAGATAAAAGCCATCAAGTTTGTGTTCACAGCAGTCTTCGGTACCTCTAATTTCGAGGAACGGAGTCACAAAACTCGATATATTTAAGTTCTCTGGTTCCGCTACTGTTGTTACTCCTCCACACTCGCTTCATGGTTTTGCAGTTCCTACAAGAAGACCTACTTCTTTCACAACAGTGGCTTTCCCCGTGTTTTAGGGCTGGAACACACTGAAAATTTGGGCTTCTAGCAGCCATGAACAGAAGTCCAGAGCCCTGCAAATTCTTTCTGCGAGGGAGGTACTCTCATTTTTAATTACCAAAACCCTTATTCCCCCGAATAGTTTCTCTCTCTTATATTTGATAGTTTCTTATTGATTATTTCTTTATATGTATCTATGTCTTCATGGGCCTTCTCTTACATGGATCATTGGGGAGTTCTTCTTTGTATTTTCTTCTCGTTCTTCCTGTCTTCCTGAATGCATGTTCATAATTTTATCCCAATAGATAGCAAATGCGAGAATTATTTCAGTTTTTTTTTTTTTGGTGTCAATATGGGCATGCTTCTTTGTGTTTGATGATTTTGTTGGACATTTTTCAATGGTTTTATTTATGCATAATTATTAGCTCGGTGTGTGATATGTTCTTAGGCGAATTTTTAGGTTCATCAGAAGGCAAAAACCATTGGTTTTGAAAGTTCCCTTGACATTATACCACTCCCAATTACACACAGTTAAATGGTCATGTGAATCCCTTTTTTTATTTCATATTTTCTTTTGTAACATCGTGAGATGCCATGCTCAAAGTTGTCCCTGCTAATTTGTTTTGTCGTAGTTATGATCAAATTTATCGACAAATTTGCATGTTATAAGTCAAATGCACTTGTAATTTGCTTTTGGTTGTCAAGGTAAGAGTAATGATACTATAGTTCTTGCTCGAACTTGTAAGAAATTTCTGATTAAATATGATCCTTCCAAATTTTTGGACTTGGCCATTCTGATTATGGGGTTAGCTTTGGCCATATTCAATGGAGAATAACATTATCCTTGCACCTGTTTTTTGTTTCTATCAAAGAGACTGACTGTTAAGTCCAATAAGCTGCTAGTCTTAAGGGGTGTGAAACTCGAGGTGGAGATAATTTCGCTTCTTTTATGATGCCACTTATTTTAGCAATATTTAGAAATTTATTCCTTCACTGATGTCTCCTTTCTTTCATTCTTTGTTTCTTTTGTGATTAGTCAAATGGTTGTGTAAGAAAAAATACCTATAAAACTAGGTTATTAAGTTGATTGGACATTTGAATTTTCTAGAACTTTTGCTATTTACCTACCCACTACCAAAGATGTTATGAGATTTCTGATTTCTTAATTTTGTTTATTTTTTCTCTCTTTTCCTCTAATATTTTGCATGATAAAATTTCCTCTAATATTTTATATGATAAAATCGATTTTGGTGTGAACCTCAAGAAATTCTCCCCAACAAGTTCCTAGAATGATACGATCACTTTAATCCAGATAATGCTTCTTCGAACTCATAATTTTAGTCGTGCAAACACATACATGCACACAATCATGTGGGTGTTTAGATCGATAGGTAGATAGATAGGTGTATAAATAGGTTGATGATTCATTATGGATACGTAAGTAAATTGTTCCTAGAAGCATGGGTAGAAGGTTTCTGTGGTTAAACCTTGGTTGATCATAAACACAAACCCATCAGACTCTTGGATATTGGTTCTTGGCACTTTTACATATTTATTTGACGAGTGTTCTTTTTCTATGAGCATAGTATCAGATTTTAGTAAAAAAAGGAATCAGATTTTTATCCAATTTAATGTCCGTCGGAATCTTCTTATCCATTATGAATCCATTATGAAGTTTTATTATTCTTATTTCAGTTGCAAATTTGGGGAAAGATGTAAGAATCTTCATCCAAGACCTCAGCAATCTATGCCAAATCCGTTTGGGCAGCAGCAATCGAGGTCAAATCCTTTCGGCTTCGGTGTGCAAAACACCTCACAATCAAAAGTTGCATTTGGTGGTTTCCAAATTCCAGACAAGGTTCGTTATCAGATTGGCTCACTGCATACTTAAAATAAAGTCCATAATAAGTTTTATTTATGCCTATGTATATGGAAACAGCCATTACCGCAAAACAAGTGGAATCGTTTCTCTCCAGTAGCTAATGGGAACCCTAAGCCATCAACTGCAAGGCAGACTGAGTCTCAGCAAAAGGCCCTTTCCACGCAAAGCAGAAGGCCCACTGACTCTCTTCAAAAGACCCATGGGTAAGTTCTCTATGATTCAGAAGAACATTTTTGTGCTGCATAAATCTACATTCCATTTTATCCTTGCTGTGAAAATGAGCTCCATGATTATAGTCCCAAAATCATCATGAACGAATATGCAATTTTGGTGCAGCTCCACCTGCACGGACCCTGAGATATGCAAAAAACAAATAATTGAAAATTCAATGGAGGAGCCTCTTTGGAAGCTTACTTGCTATGGGCATTGGAACTAGTAAGTTGCATATTTTGATTTGGATTTGTATGCTATGCTGTATTTTGGGTTTCTGATATTTTTGAAGTACTCTGTCACCCCTCGGCTGTCAATAGTGGGCTGTTGGGATTTTTCATTCTTCCGCTCAAAGCCTATGGAATGCTTTGACAGGAAGGTGAGCCCCCAACTATCTAACATAATGGGAGAATGCTAGGAAAGTGTAGGAAACCCACATGATAGCATTCCATACTTTAAGGAAACCCACATGATGGGTTCACATTCCCTTTTATTTTGGTTAGTCGTATTTCTGGATGGCGGTACATTATTTATGATCTCATGTTCACTTTGCTGTCATGATTTTAGATTTAAAGGATATTCACTAACCTGTTTCGTACATAATTTTCCCGTTGATTTGGTGTTTGTGGTAAAACTTAAAAATTGATAGTGAATGGTGTTGAACTATACTTTGTAAGTGTGCTTTGCTTGTAGTCTCCCATGTGACATCACTGGTGATATTAGTTTTGAAGAATTGAGGGCAGCAGCATATGACGATGCTCGACGCGGGGTGCCTCTGCAGTCAATTGTAAGAACTGGAGTTCTTCAGCAAAGTACAATGACAATTGTTTGATGTGTGTTTGGTTGAGTGTCTCTTCTTTCTAGACCATCTTGGACTACCGTAGTTACTCTGTAGTTACCCCTTCCAAATTGATTCACTATTTTGGTGCTTGATTCAGGTTGAGAGAGAGAGAAACTTACTTCAGGCCAAGTTACTAGAATTTGAGAACCTACGCCGCAATCCATATGTGATTCCAAGAAAATCTAGCTCCTTTGTGCCGTTACCATCACCTGCAACCAACCCAAACATATCACCACCTGGATTTCAGCAAAATATGCCACCTTCAGTATCAAGTTTTAGTCAACTTGGGATGTCGACTTCCACGGGCTTGAACACAAGGCAAGATCTAGCCCGCCCTCACTCTATTTATTTTTGTGTGTCTGCATGCATGCATGCTTGCGTGTAGTCGTGTGTGTGTGTGTAGGTGGGGGTGTGGGCATGGAGTGGGTGGGTGGGTAGGTGAGTGTGCCCTTGTGTGTGCATTTCTGTGTGTGCGCGCCTCTGTGTATGTCACCTACGGCTTTCTTCAGTCTCTATTTGGCACATCCCCTGATTTTCTCAAATTACATTTCCAGGCAACAAAGTTCTTTCCAAGTTTCTAGCCAGACATCTGGTAGCAGCAACTCAGCATTCGGCGCCCCACCAAAAGATGCCTTTGGACAACAGGGTCCATTTCAAATTTCCAACCAAACATCACCTGGTTTTGGCACGAGCAACTCGGCTTTTGGAACACCAGGTATTATACCGTACCTAACAACATTATGTGATATATAAGTTGCAGAAAATATTGATTTGCTGCTTTCCTTGTTTCTTGTGTTAAGTGTTGCCATAATGTGGTTCTCATTGTTCTATTACTCATCATCATCTCAATGTTCAATTACTAGCAACTGGAATTTATAATGTTTCATGTTGGCATTGGCAATATCTAGTCAAGTCACTAGGTTATTTGGAAAGCAATGTTTTGGTGGTAGTGCTTCTTGTTTGGATCTCTTTTAGTGAGAGTGCCATAGGTGGACCTTGTAGATCTTTGAATCTGACCTTGTTTTAGAAGAAATCCAAATGACATTTTTAGAGAAGGGTTTTATTAGGCTACACCACTTGGTGGTGTGTACCCTTAAGTCTTCAAACACTTAGATATTCTTTTCCTATAGTGTAGTGACTTTTTGTCTAGGGGTATTTTAAGTAATTAGTCAAGGTAAAGTAGAAATTTCTAATTGAAACAAAAGCATTTATTAACAATAGTGGACAATGATATCACCGACATGGTGTGTAACATCACCCACAATATGCATTAATTATTTTTTAACTACTAAAAGAATGCCACTATTGTCTTATAGAAATATCCGTTCTACCCTTCTAAATGACCAAAAATGCCCTTACTTGAAAAATTTTGTATTACAATTCAAAGGTATTTAGGTATCCAAAAATGTTGAGGACTTTAAGGGTATACACCACAAGTGGCGTAGCCTAACAAAACCCTTTAGAGAATAGGACTTCTTTAAAATAGTAGATATTAAAAATCTACTTACATTTTTTATGATTGTACTATTTCCCAACAAGTACTTCCCATGGATATTTAGAAGCTCTTTCTAAAGTATGACTGTATGAGAATAAATGGCTAGAAAAGATCAGGTTTCTCCTAATGACTAGAGGCAACCCCTCTACCAAAATTGTTACTCTCTTCCATGGAACATATTTTGGTGCTATTAGGAATGAATTATAAACCTTGAGCATTGTAAGTGCAACCATACCGTTGCCCCTTTGTTAAGGCATCTCTACAGTACTGCTGTTTACTGACCTTTAAATGTTGTTTAGAGGTAAATTTAGGTGAAGTCATCTTTTTTGAGAGAAGAAATTTAAATGCACTTAGAATGAAGTTGATGGATTGTGTTTCCCATTTCATGAGAATTGCATGCTGGTTTTACTGGGGAACTTGGTTTATGTGCAAGAGATTTGCTTTTAAGCTCACCCTTGGTGAGCTTTCATCACTATCAATGGAGATTATATGAGTTGCAATTTTATGATTTCAATATTTCTTGTGTTCCCTCACGTCCTTCTCAACGTTTCCTGTGGTCCCAGAACTAGCAAAAACATTGAGTGCTCAGTGGCCTGGAGTTTTGCTTCTATGAAAATTGACCACAAGCAAAGTTTTGTTTTGCAGGATTATTCGGGAATAAAGTACCTAATCAACCTTTTGGAAGCAGTGCAGCTACAATGAGCAACAGCCAAATTCCAACATCTCCATCATTTCCCATGTTTACAAATAACTACTCACCTGGCCTGTTCGGTGGGCCTAATGTTGGTTTTAATCCAGGTGGCAGTGGAGTGAACACATCAAATATCTCCTTAGCGTGAGCCCTCCCCACCTCTTTCTCTCTCCACATAAATACTCACATCATCATCTTTTCCTATTGAAACTCAAACATCATCATTAACAAGTTATGTTGGCAAACAATAGTTCACTAGAAACAAATATTTGCAAGCAATGATTTACTACAAACTATTCATTTCCGGGTGTCACCTTTGCACTATGACAGTGACGACAAGCAAGTTAGGCTGGCTCCTGGAGAACCAGATATATGGTCAAAGGAGGAATGGGAAGTAGGGGAGGTAAATTTCTTTCGTATATGCAAGTTTCATACAGTTCAAAGAGTTCAGAAATTGATGGAAGTGAGCTCCTGCTATTTTGAAAATTGGCTGCTTCCATTTTCTGCATAGAATGATAGAATGTGGCTAGTGTTTTAGAAAGACTTGTTTGTGACACCAGAGCTTTTCAAGGGATCGTCCATCATAGAACTGTCTTGGCTATCTGACTATTTTGGGGTTTACAGCCACAAGTAGCTTGAAGATTTTGAGATATTCACCACAGAATTTGAGCAACAACTAAATTCCTATATCTTAATATTTTAATAATTTTAAGGGAAATTTACGCTCATATCCTCCTAAAGTTTCACTATTTCAGAAATCTCCAAATTTTCATGTTATAAAATTATACAAATTCTTTTCACAATTTTTTCAAAATGTTTTCAAAATGACAATATTACCCCTACTTCGGATTTTGAAAGTCTGAAGTTCAACACTTGTAATAGAACACTTGGACAGTGGTTATAAGGCATGCTAGGGTGAAGGATTTCTTTAGAGGACTTCGGATTTTGAGAATCCAAAGTTTGCTTTTGTTGAACTTCGGATTCTCAAAATTTGAAGTTCTCTTTGGAGTCTAGCAAGTTTACACAGGCTTTGGAAGCCAAGGATTTCCTGAGAGAATTTCGAATTTTGAGAATCTGGAGTTTTATAGAATCTCAGATTTTAAAAATCCAAAGTTTTATAAAACTTCGAATTCTCAAAATCTGAAATTATCTCAAGAAATTCTTTGGCTCTTGGTGAAACATTCTTTTTGTATTAAAAGGTCTAATAACTTCGTTTTTTCAAGTTCCAAAGTCATGGCAGTTTGAGAAAAAACAAGAAAAAATATAAAAATGGGTATGATCATAATATTCACATATTTAAGGGGATCTTTTAATAATGGTAATTTAAAGGTATATCTTTGTAAACTACTCTAATTTTTGTATACTGTAGTAATGTATTACACATACGTGTTACCATGGTATATTAATATTATTAAAACATTTAGTTATATCCATAGTGATTATAGCACGTTGTGGCTGTTTAGTTTAGATTGCATGTGATGCAATAATTGTTAAGACTTCATTCAGTATATGGTGTATATATATATTTTTTAAATAAAAGCATATGGTGTATATTATATGCTATAAAGTACCCTACTGCACAATATAGAGACCTCAGTTGGCATATAGTTTTTACTATATGCTATAAAGTATCCTAGTGCACAATATAGAGACCTTCTTATTAATATGATCTTTATATTATACTTTTTAATTTGTTGAATAATTTTCTCGCTGGGGAACTCAAGTCATTCATTTAGTCCATCCAAATGGGGTTCAGATTCTGAACTTCCTGGGTTTACGTACTCTTTTTTGAATCTTGGCTATCTAGATTCTGGTTAATTTTCTAAATGGGCACATTTAAAGAGAGCTATGAACGATCTTTATGAAATTGAATGTAGCATTTGCATTATTTGCAAAAATCTACTGTGTTATTATGAGTGATTGGTTTGTTTCTCGCATTACCAAAGTTTACTGGAATAGTGACACTATTCTTGTAGACATCAACCGATAATGAGATATGTACTTTTGATATATATGCTAACTCCATGTGGCCACATTCATTGCAATAATGGCAGTTAGCTGCAAATATATTTTATTCTGTACATCTTTTTCAGATACGAACAAAAAGAAGATTGTCTACTTGACTGGTGTCTTTTCCAGCAAGATACAGAAAAAATTTGAAATATTAGCACGCTCACACACTCTTGCGAAATGCCAGACAAGTCCACAATACATCCACCGTCATAAAGTACTGCAAAATCTTCCATACAAGCAACACATATAACTTTGAGCGAACAAGAGCTCATATAATTATAAAGCATTTCAAATAACAAGTGAAATTGGGAGTTTCCAGTGGCTGATTTTGCCAAAATCCTAAATCATTTTTATGGGTCGTTCGGCTCCCTGTGCAAACAAACTCAGGTTTCAAATCGCAATAAAAGTGTTTCAAAATCTGTATCGGGGGGGTTGATCGTCCATCCCATATATTTGTGTCGCAGCATTGGATCGACGATCCGGATCATTCTAGATCGGTCTAAATCGGTGATCTATAAAAATATTAAAAATAAAAAATAAATTAAAATTTAAATAGGGGTTTATGGCATGGGGGCTTCAAGAGGGACCTAAACAAATATTAGATAAGCTTAAAAATAAAAATGAAATAAAAATGAAATGATGGGCTTTACGGAGGGAACTAGGCCACAATCGATGCCATCCAATTGGTTTGGTCCCAACCGATTCTTGTTCCAAATTGGCGATTCCCGATTTGGATTGCTGGGGTTTTAAAACAAAGTATAACATGATTATGCCTAGTGTTTTAAAACCCAACGATTCCTCATCTGGATCGTCGATCCGAATGGGAATTGGTGGGGACCCAACCGGTTTCTGGATGGTATCAGTATTGGTCCCGGTCTGTTACCCCCCTAAAAGCCATCCCTTTCTTTCATATTTTTTTCTTTTTATTTAAGTTTATCAAATATTTTTTTACGCCTTCCTTAATTCCCCACCCCTATTTTAATTTTAATTTTTTACTTTTTAATGTTTTTCTAGAATACCAATTAGGACCAATTCAGATAGCCGATCTAGCAATTGGAAAGGCTAAATATGCCATTCATTGGTCATGCAAAAACCTGGATATTGGGACAACACACTTTGGATATCTTCTATGGAGTCCAGGTTATGCCAATCCCATATTTGTATCATATGTTTTTATGACTTGCGTTTACAGATTTAATATTATTTATTGAATAAATTATCAATATTATTTTGAAAATAATGATAATATTAATGATAATAAAATAACAACAATAACTACAACAACAATAGTATTATTATTAAATTTTATAACATTAAATGCATATAATATTATGATATTATGTTATGAAGAATTAGTAGAATTATTATTGAAATTGGTAATAATAATATATTTGCATCATTATATCACAAAATAATAATGATGATGATGATGATGATGATGATAGAGAAGAAAACCTTGGCGGGAGGCTAGTACCCCAAGTGAATAAGTGCTTGCTTCTGCATAGTCTTATTATTCATTACGCCTTTCTATATTTTTGAAAAGTCCGGTTATGAGGTACTTATGCTTAGCGATAACGTGATTTTGGGGAGAAACAAGTTGCCAAACAGTTTTTTCTGTTAGATAACCTTAGTATGCAAACTTTGAGTTTGCATAGTCAGGGATCCAAATGATCCATTAGTTTCCCTCAGGTTAGCCCTTCTATCTATCACCAAATTGTTCTTCCTGGGAACATGAAGTATGTCAACGATACCACACCCCATACTTCAACAACGATATTCTTCTAATCTCCATGGTGCCTTAAAAGGCATCTGATGGTCTTCAGGGTTTCTCCTTCTAAGAAGGCTGGTTTGTTATTTTTTTTACTAGCATATGGACCTCTTTCAAATCTGGATAAATCTTAGCCCATGAAACATCTTTAGGATCTAGTGGCCACATGTGTTCCCTTGTCTGTCTCTATGGATTTCATCAAATTCCATTCTATCCTGTCCGTCTTCCATTTCCTTGGCATGCATAATGCCTATCTCACACATGAAACATTTGATCTACCTTGTGATGCTAAAATGGCTATTGTTCCAAGTCTCAAACCTTGATGTGAAATTATACTCAACCATTGACTGACAATTCAAATGGTTAGCTCTAAAATGGTCAGCTGGGGATTGCCCATCTATTGGGCGAAATAAATGGCTGATTTCCAAACTATTTGCAAAGAGACATTTCACTCAGTTGTGCATCTTGGGGCAATTCATGGCCACTTAAAGAGAGTTTTGCCATCTGTTCCATATATATGTTCTGGTGGTCTGATAGCTAGATCCAAAGCCATGATGACTGAAAGAATTGAATAGGGTTACTGCATAATAAACAACTCGTTTTAGAGGTAACCAATGTATGATGGTATGAATGTGGACAATGTGTTGATGATTAATTTTAGCAGCCTATTAGGAAGTATACAGTGCTTGAATTTGGTATAATGTAATGATTGTGTTCATATCTGTGAGGCACGACCAGGATGAGGACAATGTGTTCATATTGTGTTCATAACTGCAAGGTACACGCATGACCAAGATGAAGGCATTGTTATGTTTTCTTTGGTACATGAAGTTATCGGTATTGTATTTGGGATCCTCCTAAATTTTAAAATCCGCTGTTTTATTTATTTGTGTGAACATCTTTTCAAATGTTGACCCTAGAACTTCTCAAAATTTACAAAAAAGCATCGATTTACTTTAGTTTTTTTGAATTTATTATTTTGTTGAATCTCTCACAATGAGTTCTAATGGGAGAGTAGAAAACAATAATGCATTTATGTGGATGTGTATTTCCACTCTCGAAGTGTGGTGAACTTTATCAGCATGCTCGAAGATATTTTGCCACCAGTGTTTGGTTACCTCTGACATATTTTGGATACTCACGCCTGTCGCTATTTGTGTATCATTGCTATTTGGGAACTGTAATGCACCATGAAGTTTTGGATACCCACACCGTGAAGTGACTGTTGTCTACTTATCTTCGATTAAGTTCACTAAAATAGTCTTGTAAATAATCCACTGCTCTATTGTTCTTAGCCTGTAGCAACGTACCTAAGCAAAATACCATTATTTGGTCTCGACCCTTCGAAAATTCACCCTGGAAGAATGCTATTTTGTGATTGCACATATTTTTCTTTTGGGTAGCGTGGGATTCGAACCTGCAATGCAGCGATGCAATTGTCAGCATGGCAACCAATCAAAACAATGCCCAAATCCCAGGATAGCCCAGGTTTCTTTTATGGGATGAAATTTCAACTCTTGACCTCCCACTTTGTAACCACATATTCAGGTTGCTCTAATGAACGTGTAATGGGTAGTTTATAAAGCCGTACATTCCTTATGTTTGAGCAAGTTGGAACCTGGGCAAAAGCCTAGGGAATGACTGGTTTAATGGGAATCTTCCTTTAGAGAGAGAACCATGAGACTGTTTAAGTTTGGTTACAACCTTTCTGTATGAGTATAAACTTACCGGCTTAGATTGGTTTTTTTCTCCTCTAGCTTGTTCTGAAAAGATTTGGAGAAACTATTTTCTCAGATGATGATGATTTTCTCCAAACTGACTGCTTTAATTGAGCATTTCTACTGTCTTCTCTCCCTCTCCCTCTCTCTCTCAGACACACGCATGTTGAGCAGGAATGTGGTCATTGTGACTTTTTCTGTTTCATTTTAATTATTAACATGGGCTTTTCATTGTAATAGAATTGAGTTTTTCTACTGTCTTATGATCCCAGTTTTGTTACGAGATCTAACAGCAACGATGTTCTACAGATTCCAGAGGATGAACCACCGTCTTATGCCCTGTTGTGAGAGCATCATGCAGTCAATCACAGGAATCGTCGATCTCATCGATTTTTTCAGTTTTTTCTTCTCAAGTTCCTACTTGATTCCTGTAAATTTTGACCGATTCTTTACAATCAATTTTGCATGTTCATAGTTTCAATTGTTCTGGTTGGAGATGTATATTAATAGAAGGCCTTTGGCAGTTATTTAAGTTTCAAGGCATAGCTTCCTGCACGTCTCACAACTGCAAAGAATGTAGCAGTTGGAGGCCTCACATTGAAAACAAATACAAGAGCCAACCTATCAAGTACCAAATAAAAGAACAATATAAGAAGAGAGAGAGAGAGAGAGAGATCCACTAATATGACATCTGAAATGACATGATTCACTCATGGGGAATTTGGACTTCTAATCATTATCAGGTTGTATTATATAGCACTACACGAACATGCCAAAGAATCATTGAGAGAGAAAGAGAGACGCGTATCCTACTTTTTCGATGTGAGAGGATGCATGTTTGCCATTACTTGTAATTAGGTATAACCACTATTCTTGGTGGTGGTGGACTATGTATTCTTGCCCATTTTAAATAAGCAAAATATCATTTAACTGGCTAAAACACTTACAAAACAATAAAGGAGGTCAAAACATCTCAATTAACAAAAAAACAATAAGAGTTTGCTTGTTAATTTATATTGTATTGAGGTTGTCTAGATAATGTGTCATAATGTACACAACTTTTAGGGTTTGAAATCTTTTTTTTTTTTTTTTACAATCATAATAATCAAGGCTGAGATAATCGATTTTTGAAGATTTTTTTATGCCATAACTATAATTTTCGTATCGAGTTGTGAGGTGGGGCTTTATTATTTCGATAGGAAACTATTTTCCTTACCAATTTTGAACAAATTGGGGTGTCTTTAATAATTCGACCCATTTAAGAAGCTCCAAACTTGTTTTTCTTGCTTGTTCGGGTAGATCAAATTATTGAAATGCATATGCTTATTTCAGGAACAATTTAATTAATTTTAGAAATAGTTCATAAATAGGTATTTAAGTGAAATGAAACTTAAATATTTTAATTGGAGGTTTTGACTCCTTAAATTACATGTCCCCTTTTAAGCAAAAAGCAAAAGTATATTTTTGAAAATTAAATGTAAAAAATAAAAAATATATCAAAAATAAAAGATAAGCAACGACTATTTCTTCTCTCATCTGTTTTATAAAACAGACAAAAATACCAAGGAGAAAAGTAAGCTGGGCCATTACAGTTGTACAGAAGAAAAACCAGAACGTGCCAACATCTAAGTCCTTTGATATTAAAAGTCTAATAAATTTATTATGTACCGCCGCCTATCGTGCATCAATATACGCTGCAAACTGTTGGACTTTGAAATATAATTAAACAAATACTCTTTAACCAAAAACTTTCCAAATCAAAATTGATTTTTTGTTATTTTTTCTTACTCATATTTACATTAATTTATTTTTCTCCCAAGGTGAGAGAACAAAGAAGCATGGGAGTGGGTTTTGTCTCTGTCACCTGTCAGGAATCAATCCGATTTATTATTTAATAAGTAGAGTACTTTTTTTAGTTTAATTTTATTAAGGATTTGTACACTATGCTAGGATTTGGTTTCGGAATAGTTTGCTACCAGCTTCTTAACTATATGATTCCATGCTAAAAGAATGTCAATTTGCTAGTAGATTGCTTGACACCCTACTGCACTGCTTTCTTTTTCTTTAACAGAGACCTTATAACGCTAAGCAATGTTCTAAAATCCTCAAGTTGGGTCAGAATCACCGAGCTAACTCACAACCAATGGGCGACTGGTCTAAGTTACTTCAAAATCAAGATTTGGACCTGTTCATCCTAAAATTATGTTTTTATGAGTAATGTGTGATAAAAGCATTATTTTCAGTTCAATTTGAGAAACATAAAATTTGCTTGAAAATTTTAAACCAGTATTTAAATTTCTGTTTTTTTTTCCTCTAAATTCATCGAGTTGGCTGAGGATCCTCGGCCCACTGGTCTGATATTTATAATAATAATAATAATAATAATAATAATGTGATTTGTTATTGGTTGAACTATGTTTTGCTATTTCTACTTAAAACATGAGGGGGAATATCACGAAATCTAACCACCAAAAAGTGCTCCTCTTGACATAAGCTATTATGTTATGGGAAAATATAGAAAGAGACCATTTACCTTTGTTACAAGGTAAGACATTAATCTTGACCATTCGATGTGAAATTGGGTGGTTGCAATTATTCCATTGACCAAGCTCAAACTTCGAAAGGAATTTTTTCAAATTTTGTGACACATCCATGCTATCAAATTTAACTTCCGATAGTTGTAAGTAATTGTGACCACTTTGTATCAAAGGTAATGGACTCATTGTATAAAATCCCTTATATTATTACATAACAACAATTAACAAAGTGTAATCCCATGTAATTATGAAAAAACCGCTTTGAGAGCAAGGCGACCAATGTCAAAGCCACGTGCATCGTGGAAAGGCGGTTTTGGAAAACCGCCTTATGAGCTGTGTATTCTAAGCTTCCAAGGAAACAAGTTTGTAATTGGAAAAATAAATGAAAAAAAAAAAGAAAAAATTATAGATACCCCCAATTTCAACATCTTACCTCTCAATATTTTTTGTATTGTGCCCTAAACCTTAACAATATTTATTATTGTATATATCCTCCAGTCAAATAGTCAAACTATTTTTGACCAAAATGCCATTTTTTATTCTCTCTCTTCCCTTTTTAACTTATTATTTTATATTTTCTCTCTATACTTACCCTTTCTTGCGATTTAACACATTTTATGTCGGACCGCATTTTTTAGTCATAGAACTTCTGGAAAGTTATTGGTCTACCACACTTTGTACCGGATTGAATTTTTTTTTTGCGGTCTAGTACATTTTGTGCCAGATCGCATATTTTAGCTATCAAGCTTCTAGCAAAAAAAATTTTTGCAGCCCAGTACATTTTGTGCCGGACTACATTTTTTAGCCATAAAACTTGTGGAAAGTTACCGGTCCGGCACAATTTGTGTCAGACCAAAAAAAGTTTTTTACGGTCTATAACACATTTTGTGTCGGAACATAAAAAAAGAATTCGCTCCGACACCAATTGTGTTGGACCGTATTTTCAAGCCTTGTATCATTTGGTGGAGAGAGAATGAGAGTGAAGATGGGTAAAGAAAGAGAATGAGAGTGAAGATGGGTAAAGAAAGAGAATGAGAGAGAGGGTGACAAGAGAGGTAGAGAGAGAAAGTGTATTTTAAGACAAATTGCATGGTAAAGAGAGAGAATGAGAGAGATGGTGGTGAGGTAAAGAGAGAGAATGAGACAGATGGTGGCCAGAGATATAGAGAGAGAAAGTGCATTTTGAGACATTGATAGCACATGACCAATCTCTTCAAAAGGAAAAGAGAGAACCAAAGGCATTTTGGTCTTAAAACTTATCGACTATTTCACTGAGGGTAGATATAAAAAAAATTAGTGTTAGGATTTAAAGTATAATTCAAAGAGTAATGAGATAGGATGTGAGTAAAGTTGAAAAAGGAGATAACTATAATTTTTCCAAACGAAAATGATAACTTTGAATTGTAATTTGCAAAACGGGTGCGGTTTTTATGAGGTTGCGACCTTGAACAGTTCAATTAAAGCGCACCTTAAAATTTTATCATAATATTTAATTTTGGTGTAAAAAATTTTTAGTACTATCTTAAAATCTATTTTTATACCTAATTAAAAAAAATTAAATTTTAAAAATAGTTAAAATTAAGTAGATTTATAAATATGTGAAATTTTTGAAAATAGACGGTCTAGATAATGTGTTGCAAGATGCATTATTTTCGGGATTTTTTTTTTTTCGTATTAATACATCTCGATGTCGAAATGATGGATTAAAGTGTTTTTTCAACATTAAAACAATATTTTCGATAGATTTTTAAAACAACCTTATAGAAACTTTTCCCTTTGCAAAATTGAATGAGTGTCAAAAGAAAGGAATGACTCTTGTTTCTGGATACAGGAGGGTAGTTCCAGGATGGGGTGCGACCCACATGCGACACCAAAACAACTTTTGATGATCTTCTTTTATTGACCTGACCACTGCAAAAAGGACATGTACCCGCGGGACCGTGATCGCCTTTAGATAAAAAACTTAAAAACAACTCCTATTTCTCAAGGTTTGAATAAAACAAATCCTTACTCTCACAATGGGTTCATTCGCGGACACGGTTTTTATGAGTCCATGTATAAATGAGTCACCTCTTAAAAATCGATTTTTGAGATTTATTTTTGAGCCTTAAGGACATTTAACCTCTAACATGGAGAGCATGGATATGAAAAAATTATTGAATTTTAAAAATTAAAAATGGTAATTCTATAAAATATTTGGACAGATGGATACTTTACACCTCAGGGACTACAAATGCAGAAATACGTATCTGCCCCCATAAAAACAATTTTCCTTCGTTTACCCTCCACTCTCTCTCTCTCTCTCTCCCTCACTCTAAAAAATAATGCGTGAGGTTTAGATAAGAACACATTCTCTATGCTTTAGAAATAAGGCGCAAATCTAAGTTTTGCCTGGATATATAATTCAGGTATTGAAAATTTTGTGATGACTTGATTATCTATTATCATCACTTACAAAATTTAAAAGTTAAAAAACGGTAGAGATCAAATAAATCTATAAACACTTGAAAATCGTATCGATCGATTGAAAGATTTTTCAATCGTATCTTCTTGAAGACTTTTGAAATGCACCTTTCCAATAGTAGAAAATCGACACCTTATTCTCTCATTTATTCATGGTTTCTCTCTCTCTCTCTTCTTGAGGACTTTTGAAATGCACCTTTCCAATAGTAGAAAATCGACACCTTATTCTCTCATTTATTCATGGTTTCTCTCTCTCTCTCTTCTTGAGGACTTTTGAAATGCACCTTTCCAATAGTAGAAAATCGACACCTTATTCTCTCATTTATTCATGGTTTCTCTCTCTCTCTCGGCAGTTGGGAAGCCAACGATAAAAGCGTCCTGCCCCTATGCTCTCATTAAAATTTTAGACGGGGGGTTTAAAGTTTTGGCAAGCTTTCTTGAAATTTACCAACATTTCGGCATATTTTGGACAGCTTACTTTCCTTTTAATTTTTCAAGCCAATTTGACACCTAGAATTTGAAAAATGTGCCACTGTTTGAGATAACACTAAAATATAAAGGTCGCAATAAGAGCTCCATAACGGTCGATACAATGATACAAGTCTCTTATATTTTAATAAATTTGTTGTGGTAATTTTTTTCTATGCCTATCTTTGTTCTCTCTGTTACAGGCCTATCGTACTATGGAAAATTAACCGATACCAGCACATTATGGCATATGGGTATACACCCCATTACTAGATATTAGAAAGTAAATAGAGAGATGCCTAAAACATTAAGGAAAATTTAGAAAGTTACACTTAATATGTGAAATAGTTTATATTTGAACACGTTTTCTATGAGTCCGTATAGCAATGAGTCGACTATTAAAAATCTATTTTTGAAATGGAGTTTCGGACCCAATTTTTAAGGACATGTAATCTCTAACATGGAGGTCATGAATATAAAAAAATAAATTTTAATAAATAAAAATAACGATTTTATGAACAACAAGTTTGGATAGTTAGTTTCAATTGATTTTAGATGGACCATCTATTTGCATCCATCTTTAAGATAGATGCTTTATTCCTCGAGACCGCATACGGTAAAAATGTGGTTCGGCTCGCATGAAACAATTTTTTTTTATATTTTACATATATTTTTATTTAATTTGTATTATTTTTTAATCAAATTTGAAATGGCCCATGAAATCAATGCACCAAAATAGGTTCAGTGTTTATTAAATTACAGCCGATGTTAATTGTTATTCAACTTATTTCTGTTCTGATAAATTCCAATAACAGATCACCAAATCCACTGAAAAGTTCTTGGCTTTTAATGGAGTAGTCATTGGGATTGCTAACAATTTGACAGCTAAATTTTGAGCCAGGTGAAGGGCCATTTTGGATATTTAATTAAGAATTAGAGGTATTTCTCTTTAGCCCTTTGTTTTTGTTCCTTTGAACATACGTGCTTTCACTGTTCCTCAATAATAAGCATAGAATATTAATAAACTGAGGTGGCAAGCCAAAGCGAAACTTTCAAATTCATCAAAATAGACGATCAATTATTTAACACTTTATCTATTTGAAACTATTTCAATGACGATGCGTTTTTTTGGGTATTTTAAAAATAAAAATAAATCAAAAGATATAGATAAAGCAATGGTTTAAAAACCGGATCGGTGACCCGGATCGGGCTTTTCAAAAACCGATCCGGATCGGCGAATCGACGATCCGGATCGAAATCGGGTGAATCGGTCAGAATAAAGCTTCAAAAAAATCCGAAAAAATTATTAAAATTCATTATAAATATTGGTTTTTAGGAATTCAATAAAAAATGAGGGTATTCCATTAAGAATTTTCATGTTTTTGAATGAATATGCGAATATTGATATGTTCTTTCCATGCATGAACCGCCATTCAGCATTTAATTGA